GATCCTGGTGTCTTTTAAAGTACCGGAAATAAATGGTTGGCTGCCGCTGGGTGGTAATAGAACATAAAGGATATGCCTAAGACCAATCATAGTGTATTTCCGGGAGTGATTTCTGTTGATTTGCACTGTTACGAAGACAACCGTGTCATCAACACCAGGTTATATGTGAAGGTGAAGTGTTCATTTTAGGACACTTTTTTACCCTTCCTTCGTGCTTAAAAAGATCATCTTAGCTAAGTAATGATCACCCGAAACTAACGCGGTCGTCTTTATGCCCCTAGTTTGGAAGTGGCGTGAGTTCACACCTAACCTCTTTTATATTGCGGGTTACTGATAATTAAACGATAGCGGCGATTGGTAACAGTAGACAGTTATTTAGACTTATTAAGGAGACTGGGGTTGAAAGGTCAACCCCCCCTCCCCCGACACTAGCTGTATTTCTCGATCTGAAGGCGGCATTCGACTCCGTTGATCGATAAACCTTATGGCAATATCTCTCAGCGAAAGGCGTGCCGAGTAAGTACATCACTTTATTGAAGGCTCCCTACTCGAATACTTGTGAGCGTTAGAGCGTATGGTGAGATGTCCGGAGAGCTCTACTCATCGAGTGGTGTCCGTCAAGTGCCCAGTCTCCATTCTTATTCAATTTCATCAGACATTCCTATGGGGGTCTCCCTCTCGTCACTTGACTGCAGAGAGATTGACCTAGTCGCGGGAAAATGTTCGTCAGATGTAGAATGCGCAGATGACACAGTCCTGTTAGATAAAGATGTTGATAAAATGCAGAGTCTTCTGGACACTGAGTGACAATTTGGGTGTTTGGGATGCGTTCTCACCACCTAAATGCAAACTGTTACCGCAGGATTGGTCTTCAACAATGCCTCGGCTAACAAAAGAGAGTGTAGTGGTTGAGTGTGCCGACCACTTCACTTACCTGGGAAGTGGAATCAACCCTGGTGCATTGGTCAGTGGCCGATGGAATCTCATCACGAATACAAAAAGTCCGACTGTCTTTTGCCAACTTACACCACTTGTGGCGCTGCCGTGATATCCGATCGTCTATTGAGGGTGACCTGCAATGCACAGTAGTCCGGTCTGTTCTACTGTATGGCTATGAAACATGGCCATTGAAGGTGGAAGACATGAGAAGGCTTCAGGTGTTTGACCACCGCTGCCTTCGTAGTATAGGCCATATTCCGTGGTGTCACCACGGGTGTAGAGTTTTAGGGAGAAGAGGTAAATCGGTTGACATGGTTGTGAAACTTCATTGAATGAGATGGTTAAGATGTGTTACGTATACCCAGCCGCCGTCTGCCTCGTCATGCAATATTGGTCGAAGTAGGTTCAGGCTGGAAAATGGCTCTCGGTCAGACTAAAACCTGGCATCAACTTACGAAGTCTGACTGTTGGTTCAAACATGTGGAGGGATGCAGACTAGCCGGTTGGGGCCCGTGGGACAAGAGAAACCAGTGGTTGGAGACTATGTGATATGGCTCCGAAGCGATGTCAGTGGGGCAGATGTACACACATCCTCATCTTAATGACGCTATACCGAATCTTACCATTTTCTCATTCTTGATTTCTCTCTTTTAGTACTTTATATTTCTTCTGACTGAATTTTCTTTTCTTCCACTTCATTGGTTTTTTTACTTGATGTACTGGTGTGTGGCAACTTGGACCGTTATGCAGTAATGCCTGGTGCTATGTTGATTTGGATGGATGGATGAAAACGATAGCTACTGTTAGTCTGTACTAAATAAGTTAAGCACTGTCAAGAGCTCTGTATTTGAACACTTGTTGGTGTGTAAGAGTCTATAGTGGGTTGTTTGCATCGAATCGGTGGTATTCACTCCATTTTAGTTGTACTTTGTTATAGACGTACTGATAAAGGGCTCCCTCGTCTTTCAACTTTACAGGGATTATAATTGTCAACGGAAAATCCTTAGCAGGTTTAAAGTACGCAGATGGTATAGCCTTATTGTATCGAGATACCAGTGTCTTTCCGATACTTTGAGTGGTGATTTGATAGTTTTTGGAGATGCACTTCTCACTATTCAAAGACTGGTCTCCATTATTACGTCATCTAACGGTAAGGAGTGTAGTGATTAATAGCGTGTTGACCAATTCGCATATTTGGGATGTTGAATCAGCTGCGTTGGGTCAGTGATTGATGAAATCTCCGAAGACAGACAAAATCAACGTAGGACCTTGCACAGAAGAGCATCGAACCAAGTTGCCACACTTCACAGCAGCACCGAACAAGTGGATAGAAAAAGTGATATCAAACTAGACAAAGGTGCATGAGAGTAAGCGATTTGAAGATAATGGTTAGTGCAAATTTTCAGGCTTCAGAAGACGTCGAAGAGTGTATACATCTGCACCATTGTCGCCGATCTTCAGCTATGCCATCTAGCGTCCCCAACCACTGGTTTCTATCGTGTGAAGGACCCCTACCAGGTAATCTGCACCTCCATAAATGACTCAGACCAGCAGTCAGAGACTTCGTTGACTAATGCCATCTCTTCGTCTGGTCACCCTGAGTTCTCTTCCAACCTAACCCAACTTTCCCTACCATTGTAGGTCGAGATAGGTAGTGGTTCAGCACGCGCAATTCATGAGGGTTCACAACCTCATCAGTAGACTTCTAGTATCCTTCACCTAACAGAATATGTGAGCAATGCTGAGACAACACATATGTTCGGAAACCTTTGATCTCTTCGCATATGTCTTGAATTGCCATGTTTCACAGACGAAATAAAGTCTGGAGAATTGTAGTGCAGCGTACTCATCTTTTGATAGTCGGACATAAGAGGTGACGCTTGTTGGCAGATGCCAAACGGCGCTCGTGTCCGAGCTGAGATTTCGTCAGCACTAGCCTTTTCAAGCTGATTAAACTCCTTAAGTAGAAGTGGTCGATACGTTCTACCATTTCATTCCCTATCATTAAGCTGGGAGTAGTTGCAGGCCAGTCCTAGATCACCATCTTACATTTGACAGGTGCTAGCGTAAGGTGAATTCCGAAGATTCACCTCACTGGTCAGGTGGGGTCAATTTAATAACCACTTGGGTCCTGTATATGTATCTCAGAAATGGTATACATCCATAGCTCGAGATACTAATCTGCTGGCGAGCGATGTCTGCTGTTTCATTTGATATCGATTTCAAACGTTGACAGATCCTACATAAAATCGATGATGCAGTCTAAGGAATGAAGTTTCGATGGCTTTGATTGTTGGCAATACTCGCAGAGTGAAAGGTTGAAGAAGCTAGCTGTAAGAGGATTAGTATTGGTATCACAAAGTGAAGGCAAAGGAGGAGATATAGTTGAGGGGGATAAATTATGTTTGACCGAGTCGTGTGTACTACTGGAAGCCTGTGGGCGGCTGACACTTCCTGGCTGCCCACACCATGGAAGACTAGTTCCTGTTGAGGTACCTGAAAATCAAGGGATAGCACGTGACTGCAGAGCCCATGCAGCATCTGCTTGAGGCTGAGATTTTGGTTCCTTATTTTTAAATCCGACTATAAACCACTGTCTCAGGCGTCAGGATGCCGCAGGGTGATGGGGGTGTGCTTTTTTGGGCCGACCTCTTCTAATCGTATCTTCCCATATGGAAGGCAGCATCAGCGTTGCACTGCTGGTCATTTAAGAGAAACCCTACTGCTTTCACACGCCGTTCAGCCCTCATCGCGTAGCAATTTGCACTATAATGGTAGCCTCTTTTTGTCTAACTACTATCCCACAGATCTATTTGGTATGGTTCTACCAGCATAGCTCGTTGGGTCATTGTGATAGACAACCATGTCAAAGCAGCAACTTTCAGTTGGTTTGGATTTTCGTACACTGAGCAAACAAACGTGTAAGTAAGCGATGTTAGATATCCTTCGGTTTGTGTAAAAAGTTCGCATCGTAATCATGATTTCTCATCCAGAATGTTGTCTTTAGGCGAATAAAAGATGGAGAAATTAAAGAACTAAGCTAACAAGTGAATTGATATAATGAAACACCATCGTGTTGGCAACTAAGGTTTTTTCCGATAGTGTGAGTAAATAAAGTTTGAAGCACATTCTTGATGGCAAACTTGTATCGGAAAGTTTTGATGAAAGATCTTTAGTTTGAACTGTGTTAATAATTGTGCTGAGTGAATAAGGATGAGTATTTCTAAAGATGATAGGAGCATGTTCGGGAAGTTAGTTATTTGAAGACAACTTTGTTACTGGGGCCTTACGTTTATTCTTGCGCAACTTCCCAAATGACTATGGGTGTTCAAAGTATATCACCTTATTTACCTATAGCAGCTATGCATGCGTTAACAAGTAACTTGTGACACTTCAAAGCAGCTGGTGTTCTCTCAGATATTCCATTTTTCATAGCTAGAAGTATCAAACACAGTGGTTACAACGTGAACATGAGTTATTGTTCAGCGAAGAGGAATTGTTAGGGATGCCCATATCCCTTATATTCCATACTTACAGTTTTGTGTATATTTTAACTGGTTTGCTCGCGCTCTTTTCCCGCGCATGGGTGATATTTGTATAACCCGCCACTGTTCTGATTGGCTTCTACCTCTTTAAATGTACTAATTATTCATTGTCCTTCAGGGTTACTGTAAACTCTATGAATAGGGTCTGTTCCCACTCATAAACGTTTTCAGTCCGAGATACTCTAGACTCATCTGGTTCCCAGTCTTTCGATTTCTCTTCGCGAATCACTCTGGTTGAATCAACCCTCGACTACCAATCGTTAAGTATTTCCGTTCATTCTCATAACTCCGCATCGTAACAGGAATAATCTTAGCTATGCTTAATCTGATGTCTTTTTTTACAAACTTTGTCTTTTATTTACAGGCTTTTGATCCTGAAAACAAGCCGACTTTCAGTGCACATCCTGCACGATTCACTCCAGAAGACCGATATTCTAGGCATCGGATCACGCTTAAACTGAGATTTGGTGTCCTGCCTAACCAACTTCCTCCCATTGTGTACTGAAAATAAATAAATAAACAAATAAACTTGATATTTATGTACACAGCTTTCATTATTATCATTATTATATCATTGATATACATTCTGCCGGATTATTTTGTACTAGAAGTGGAAGTAATAGGTACATCAAACAAATCGCAAACACCTTCCGTTTCATCTAGGCTGTAGTTGAAATCACATTCGCTTGGTGGTGGACTCAATGGCAATAATGGACTGACGAATGCATTCTCCTCTGAAATAATAGAAAAACTTGATTAGATGGTGTAGTAATGGTGATTATTATGCTATTTGTTCACGAGCGTTAATAGTGTATAACTGGGTCGGCCAGAGCACACAAGACTACGTTCTTTCGAAACTAGTAAATTCATAATTATGATAGACTTAGTGACAAACCAAGTAAGAAAGCTACAATATCAAACATTAAGTATGTTGTGCTGATTAGTATACAAACTGTCATTGAGATCGACAACGGATAAGAACTTAATAAACAAGTTTTTTGATTTACGTCAGTTTCTAGGGGTAAATAATGGATCACATTGTGAGCGGATGATTTTTTGTGCCCCAGAAACAGATCAAGCGTATCTATCACCATAGAAATCCGATGGGACGGTAGCACTGTAAGGTTTACTTGGTGGAATAAGGTGGCCACAGTTTTCTTAGTGAAAGGAGCCACCGTGTTTGACATGCTTTTCGTTACTAAGGGATACTAGCACTCATGTAACTACTGCAATTCCTAACGTAGTAACTTACAATAGGTGGTGAAAAAGCTTCGTTGTAGATTACTGAGCGAATAAAAGTGCATTGATTGATAGTTTGTTAACCTGTGACGGCAGATTATAATTATTTCACCTTGGTTACATTGATTTCTACTTTTGGAGTCTGTAAACTGTAAAAAACGGATTTAGTGAGTGAGCTTACAGGCTGATCTTTCATCCTATTTGCTTTACGAAGTAAAGGTCACCGAGAGATTAGAGTGGGCCGATCGTATTAATTCGTGAATCAAAGTACCAACCCGTAACTGCCCAACCTAGATTGCAGGTAGCTGGAACGAGGATAGCTACATCCGTGCACACATTCAATTCACCACTACAACCAACGAAAATTGCTTAGTTGATAGCTGATGAAACACTTCTGAAGATGTTCAAAGCTGACAGAATAATTATACTCAGCGAAAGTTAATGATAAACAGTCATAAAATAGAAATATTACCGGTAGTTCTTGTAGTTGGACGACGAGACAGTGCGATTGCATCCGAAGTTGCTGGGACTGGTAATACACGAGCTTTGTCACTACCTTCTTCTTGATTTACTAACAGTACATGAATTGGTGTTGTGAAGCTTTTAAAGTGAATCTGAATAATAGAATAAAAGTCTTAGTAGAATGAAGAAAAATAGGTGGCTGTAGATATACGTATGTTAGTGTACTATGGAAAACCAACTGATGAGAACTGAAATTCTTAATAATGGTAAAATCATCCTTTAATATCAAAAATTGGTTCCCTATCCTTTAATTCGGAGAGTTGGATGACGTGGTAACCTGTGGAGTTAGTCGGTAAATTCATTTTGAAAAATACGATTTTTGACACCAGGAAAAATTTATCACCAAAAAAGTTTCCAGTTCATAAATTATGTAAATAAAGTTACAAAATACGGTGGGAAAGAAAATAAACTCTGTCGAATTTCTAGAAAACTGAAGGAAAAATTAAATAATGACCCAAATTAGTGTATTCACAATGTTTCCGGGGTTGTAATGGATAAACTTCAACTATAGGTTCTATCTCTGGATCATATAAATAAAATTAGTGAAATAGATACAGTTAGAACACCTGACTTGGTTACGACATTACATAATCAACTGACCAAGTTTAAGTCTACTTCAGTAGGCTGTTGTCAACAGCAAAAAAAAATAGGAGTTCCGCGAACAGTCTGTTGACAAAACAACAAGGAATTTCTCAAAAACTACATACATTCAGGTCCATATATATACGATTTTTAAAGACTACTAGTCCGTGAGGAAAATTAGATCTAAATAGTGGGAGATTAAAGTAATTATTATGATCATAGTTATAATTTTCCTCACGAATTACAGTCTTGAAATGCCATAAATGTATACGGATGTACAGTTTGAGAATAAATTCATTAGGAAAAGGCCTCTTCGTAAAGGATGTCTTTAATTTTATCCCCAAGGCGACAAAGATAAATGTAATTGAGAAGTTTATGATATCGCTAGTTGTATCGTCATTATACCGCCTACTGAGATTTGATTTCATATGTTGATAAGTCACGGAGAAACTAATGAACCATGGAATTCCTGATACGTTGCGACAAGAAGGCAACTAATAGGGGAGTTGTTTTCAAGTCATGATCAGATCGTGTTCAGGTCGTGATTTGTGCATGCGCTGACCTGAGAACCTGACTGCAGAAATTCGACTTCACACAAGAAATCGGATTGGTTCTTTTATGGCTTCACTTTCTGAGAGTTTTGTAAATACATATATGTCATATATTCGTCTAATAAAAGTTGTTGCTGTTCTTGCAGTCACAGGCCATCTTTGTTTTCTGATTTCTCCGCGGCTCATTGAAGCAGAAGGTACTGAGGGAGTTCAGTCGTAAAGGTATTCGGTTGAGGTGTCTATTGAGTCTCAGTATTATTATACCCACGCGCGCAACCCCACCATTCGGTCACAACATAACTTCAAGCGTACAAATGATTGTAATGCAGATTATAGACAAGTGGATGGGATTGCAGTAGGCATCATCAACACACTAGCTAGATATACATTACTGATACGAGGATGACAGATTCATTATCATTAATCAGATTATAGTTAAGAACGAACTATTGGGGATCTTCAAGAAAATATACTTGCAAGAGAGATGATACGCTAAACTTCCTTGATTTCCTATGAAGTAGACAAGCAAATGCCTAGTTTCAGAGGATCGTTTAGAAAATAAACAGATGCGCATGTAAGTACAAACACTTGTTTATTTTTATTTATATATGACAAGAAATTTAGTGAAAATGTCTGGTGATTTGCTACGATGTTAAGTTACAGAAAATATTAAAGTACATTTTGGATTTATTGATCGTAAGTTTATAAAAACATCAAGTGGACAAAGTGGGTGAAAAACTTTACGCAGAAACATTTCCAACACAATAGGAATATACCTAGTTAGGTCCTGTTTCATAGACTTCTGAGGTCCAGCTAGTCAGTCTATCATTTTCTAGTCAACGGGTCGTTTCAAATCGAAAGAAGGATAAGTTGCCGATTTTAGCTAAATCTATAAGTGGCTCTTGTGAAGATATCGAGTGTATGAACATCTATCTTTGTGACTGAAGAAGAGATAGGTCTATACTAAACTTTATTTTATCGCATCTGGTTGATAATGTTCACAGAGAAAGCATTCACAGCGATTAAACTGCGTCCAGTTGATCCTTTCGGATAGAGTTCAAAATTGCCTCCTACGTATAGCTAAGGCTATAGGAACTCGAATGAACAATGCAAAACTTTATACACTAAACAAAGTTGTGTATTGTTTACCTCCATCTTTTGTCAACAAAGACTTAATTCATAACTTTATAGATAGCTGAACCAAGTTAGGATTTGATAGTTAGAAAAGATTTAGGCATTGTGTAAATGATATTCATTTTTTTAGTATGTGTATTTCCTAATGAATGTAAAGCAAAATAAATTTATTCCAACTGACGTTTCGCTATATAATGCTGCTAATACCTTTATCAAAGTTATAGTAAAACCGGAATTTACAATATAATAACTTGGTAAGTGTTCTTCTGCATGAACAATTCACCTTTGTTGAAATTGTAGAATAAAGATGATATCCATATGTAGTGTACCCTGTGTCTGAAGAGTGTATGAATTACAGATTGAGATTTGTATGTATACGGGTTGATAGTTCTCATCGCATGTACAAATGTTGGTTATGTTAGTATGTGGGGGGTGGATCGAGACCAGACCAAACTACTATGTTTTACTCTCTCATTCCTATGTAGACAATTTCGATTCCCCCTTCATGTGAAAAGATTTTGCTATGAGATGTTCTTTATAATTCTTAAAGCCTTACTGTATAATTTCGATATTGTCAAGATTGACCTTGTGACCTGAAATTTTCAAGTTTCTATTGCCTTCAGTCTTTTAAAGAGAGCACAAAATCTAATAATGCATGAAAGTGAAAAAGTTAAAGAATGACGATATGTAAACAAGATACTTGAAATGAATAATTATCTGGTGAAATTCATTCGCAAAATAAAAAAATAACATTAAATTAGATCATAAAACTACTAAATCATGGACTTTAACAATAGTCATCCCATACCGATCACACACATCGGATGAAATTAGGAGAGTACTCTACAAATACAGTATCAGGGTGTTCTATTATTATTATTATTATTATTATTATTATTATTATTATTATTATTATTATTATTATTATTATTATCATTATTATTATTAGTCCCTTAGGTTCCTAATGGAACATAGGGCTTGAGTAGCACGTCTTCAGTGAACTCTGTTCTCTGAAATTTTTGGACCTGGCTCCACGACAGCCCATAAGCTCTCATTTCCTCCTCGTACGATCTCCTCTATGTCACCCTCGCCTCGGACGCCCAACTCGTCGCTTCCCATCTGAGTTTCACTCGACGGACTGGACTGGCGCTTGATGTCCCCAGTTGGCCTTCTCAGTCTATGCCTAAACCATCTCCACTTCCTTCTACTGCATATTTCTTGAGCGGTAGGTTCTTGTTTGGTTCGTTGCCAGCCAGCCAGAGTTCCTGGTTGCTTAATCTAACTATTCTGGCCATTTGATCTTCAGTAACGAGCCAGAGTAGGCAGTTGTTGATGAATGTCTACAGTTTGTTGGAAATCTCTTTCGTGACGCGCCAAGTCTCTGAGCCATACAGAAGCACTGACTTGACATTGGTGTTGAAAATCCGGATGTTGTTCACGCTTTATGCTGAGTACAGTAGATCTCCACACTGGTTTCAGGCTAATGAACGCCTCTCTTGCTTTTCCGATTCTGACTTTGACATCCTCGCCAGTGCCACCTGTAGTTGAAACAGTGCTTCCTAGATAGGTGAAGGAGGCTACTTTCTTTAAGTCCCTCCCGTTGATGGTGATTGGAGTTTGTTGTTGTTGTTGCTGGTGTTGTGGGTTGGGTATCTTCATCACCTCTGTTTTCTCTATATTCACTTGAAGTCCCGTCCAGTCGACCACTATCACGAATATCATGAGGGATAGTAGGCAAGCTTGTTTCACTGCTGTCTTCACTTCAAACGCATCACTGAGCTTCCCATTGTAAATTACTTGGCATGTGGCGTCTTCATATTGTTGTTGAATGAGGCTGATAAAGGTTTACGATATTTTGTAGTATTGAAGCAGTTTCCAAATTACCTCTCGGTCGACGTTGTTAAAGGCCTTCTCAAAGTCGACAAAGTTGAGGTGTAGAGTTGACTACCATTCTATACTCTGTTCTATGATGATGCGAAGATCAGGGTAATCTACAGTACATCAAACAATGCAGAGCACCTTAGTTCATTTGAAGGATAAAATCTCTAGATTCACAGTCTATTTTTGTTCAGAAAAATAAAACGCTCAAACTGCGATGCAGTATACATAGGACAGTTTACCTGTGAAATCAAGATCAGCTCTACATGGTATAATTTTAGGTCATAAGGTCAATCTTGACAATATCGAAATTATACAGTAAGGCTTTAAGAATTATAAAGAACATCTCATAGCAAAATCTTTTCACATGAAGGGGAATCAAAATTGTCTACATAGGAATGAGAGAGTAAAACATCGTAGTTTGATCCGGTCTCGATCCACCCCCCACATACTAACATAACCAACATTTGTACATGCGATGAGAACTATCAACCCGTATATATACAAATCTCAATCTGTAATTCATACACTCTTCAAACACAGGATACACTACATATGGATATCATCTTTATTCTACAATTTCGACAACACAGAATAATTATTCATGGAGAAAAACACTTATCAAGTTATCATATATGAATATCATTTACCCAATGCTAAGGTTTTTTTAATAAAATTACTCTTAATCGATGTTCTTGCCTATAAAACCTTAAAATACTTTAATTCCACTCTTCATTTTTCTAACCTCTTCCATACTCAAACTCTGCCCATTTACTGACTTCACCCTTAGGCATCATGTAACCTTATTAAAACTTGCCAAGTTTTGATCTGTTTGCATTATCATGCTTTTCTCAACGTTGGTGTATCATCACTTACATTACCTATATGTTTATTATTCTAAAGTGTATAATTCCCATCGTTGTGATTGTTAGCTGATAAATTACGTTAACTGGCTTATATCTTACATATCTATTGAAAATTATGTATGCTACAGGAACATCTGAGGAGATCTAATTGAAAACGATATTGTTTACTTACATTTCTTGATATTGATTAATTATCAGCGACCGAAAGTCGAAGGGTTAATTGTTTCGAAATACTTTACTGCATAGTTTAATTCAGATCGTAAATCTTTTAGTAGTGAGGTAGTAGTTAAGCTTTTGGGAAAATAAAGTTTTCTCTTAGTTTTATGAAGCAAGAATAACTTGGTAAAGTATGACTTCAGGGTAGCAGATGTCAATAATTTTACCGTATGTCAATATTGTTGTATTTTATTATACACTTGTGAATTAAAATTTCAATATATGGCTTAATTTTACCACCCTAACGGTGGTCTGACTTCATTATCGTGATGGCTAATTCTACTTTTATTGGAACACTCTTAACTTCTTCTTATGAAATGAAATAACTTGTTACGACAAACATTTCCACCGAGATTTATTTCATTTGTATCTTTCTCTTACAATGAAATAGTCAATTTGTTTACAATGCAAACTGAATCCAAATTCAAAAAATCATATTAGAAACATTATAGGAAAGTGTACTCACTTTGTATGAACGCTTTAATGAAAATATTGTTTGAACAGGTTGTTCCATAGGGTTTTCAGGTACAGGTGCCTCCATTCTTGTACCGGTGGTGCACGTATAACTAACATTGTACGATCTTGAAAGATGTTGATAAGATCTTGATGAGTAACATAAGCATATTGAAGATTATCTAGATCTTCTTGAACATTTCTTAATGATTGCAATACTTTTCCTCTATGTTCATCTACTTTTTTTTCTAAATTTTCAAGATATTCAACCTCGGCTTGTAGTTCATCTAAACGAGCCTGAATATCTGGACCATTTGTAGCTGCACTTCCACCTCTATTTTAAATGAATTTTAAGAAAATTGAAGTGATAAATAAATTGGTGTATGATTAAAAATTTATAAAATTTTGATTTGGTTGAAAGAAATTCAGTTGTATATATTATCAGAACATAGTCAAATAAAAAAATTCACTCAAATATCACTTTTTTCACTGTTATCATCCGAATGAAAATTTTTAAGCTGAAGGATATACGGTCAGCTCATGAAGTCTCTATCCATTAGTCTGAGCTGTATAGAGAGAAATGTAGACTATTTGTTTGAGGTTAGAATGATACCTGAAATCAATAGTTGGAAACTCTAGATGATATGGCTCAGAGTTGTTGACCTTAGCAGTGAAGACTCACCTACATAGTATTTTTTATCCTACTGGCCATATTATTGTTGTTTTATTCTTTATTTCTTCCTTCTAATGACTCTCTACAACCTTTGCTAACATGTTTCTTCTCCACCTTTCTTCTGCCGGGATGTGAAGGGTGGTAACTTGAACCGTTATACAGTAATGTCAAGTCTTATTTTGATAATAACTGGCTGAAACAGATTAAATACTACAGATACCGAAAAACCAGGCATCTTAAAAACCTATATGTGGAATCGTACTACTAATTAGGCAACATTAAAAAAACAACCAGTGACACTGAGCTGGTGCAATATCCCAGTTGTCGAAGGTTCGTAGACTACCCACTATAAACACCGCAAACTCTCCAATAGTTGCAACTGATAACGTTAGGATGCCTTAAGTACAGTGCTAGGGTCAAGCTCGATATACTAACGTTTGGACATGTACTACGCATGCCGATCCACCACCTACCTTGACGTGCAATGCTAGGGGAAGTTGGAGTAAGTTGGATGAGGGTTCAGAATGGCCACAGCAAGACGTAGCACCAATCAGTGAAGTCTCTGACTATTGGTCCAAGTCATGTGGGACGATGTAGACTGCTTGGCTATGGTCCCCAAGAAGAAAAAACTCAGTGGTTGAGGACTCTTTGTGACATGGCCGAAAATCGGTCACAGTGGCGCAGATGTATTCACTCCTTGACATCTTTTAAAGCTTGAATATTTGCACTAACCGCTACCTTCAAACAGCTTATTCTTTCACACAACTTTGTTCACTTCAACATCAATCTTTTTCTACCAACCTTTTCTTTGTATACTACTGTGTAGAGTGGCAACTTGGACCGACACACCTATGTGCGAGGTTCTGCATTGATTTTACCTGTCTGACTAAGGTTGATATGAAAAGTAGGATCAACGACATGCAGCAGTGACGCACCATCCAACAGGTAATAATGGAAACCACCGATACAATCTAACGATATGTTAGTAGTTGTTTATGCGGCAATCAATCGTTTACACTCACCTACAGACGGATAATAGTTAAGTGAATCTTGCACAAAAGTGTAAAGACCCTTTGGATCTTAATATGATGAATAGTGAGTAGATGCATTGGAGAAGTTGTGGATTTCAGTGAGACTGGAAAATATATCCCGTACTAAGAAGCTCATCACAGTCCCAGAGCGAAGTGTCATCAAAGAAAAGAAAGAAAGGATAAGGTGCAACACTGTGATATTTCACAGTTGAAAAAAGTACCTGTGAGAACCAGGACACCATTTTGAGCATGATCTTCGTAAAGTTCGAAGGTTGGTACACTAGTTTCCACCGGAAAACATCAAGAGTAAATCCACTCCAGTTAATATAAGGTATACAGATTAAAAAGGCAGATCATACCGAAAATAGTGCGAGTACTTGGAGATATTTGAGTCAACAAAGAATAGGGGAATCATCCCAAAGAATATTCATAAACTGTAGTTGGGGTTCCCACCTAAAAGGATTTTTCCTTCGTTGATCGGATTTTTAAAAAAATGATAAACAGAGAAATAGCCAACATTCTGATTGATAGCAGGAAAAGACATAAACATGAGTTTTCTTGAGAAGCTTCAAAGGATGCCAAAGCCTCTATGGATAGGACGGAAAATCCCCTGATGTGATTTCAGGCTTTTTATACAAACGCCCTTAAGTTTTTGAATAAATGGATTGAGCGAAGTACTGTAAAAGGCTCAGAAAGCCTAAAAATAATTTCTGTATCAGAAAAACGGCTCTCCTACGATTTTAGTAACAGTGACATGCAATTACAAAGCTTCTTAAGTGGCAGATTAGATCACTGAGGAGCTAACATCCTTCATGTAAGGAACACGTTATATGTGCCGATCCATAGTCGTTGTCCTGATGTGGTGTCAGGCTTGTATATCAAAACGACATAGCGAGCTACGCTAATGGAAACACCCGTTTCCTGATGTTCAGCAGCAGCAAGACAAAAAGAAGTCACCATTTTAGTGTATGCAGCTATGTTATGATAGATATCCGAAAGAGAAGTCGTGCTGCTAGCTGGACGGGTTGTCACAGCAGTAATTTGTTTCATGTGAATAACTAACAGTCTATGCTGATGCTGCTTTAAGTATGGAAAAAGTAATTCTAAAGGTCAGCCCCTAAAACGGTACGTTCCTTCCTGTTATGTGGAGTGGGTTTCCTAGTTAGATCGAAGGCAATCAAAGTTAAGTCTCTAACTTGCAAAAAAATTGTATGACCGACCTCAAGCAGATGCCCCTTCGTCGCTGCAATCGCGCATTATTATTACTTGCCCTCCTTTTGCAGGAACCTAAAGAAAAAATGACCTTTCACGGTGCCGCCATCCGGGAAGCATCAACCACACTTAAATTTGCCAGGTCATGATGAAATTACATCTTTACCTTCTAGTCTTTCTTCACATCTCATGGTAAATATCCCTAAGTTGTCTGTAGTTTCTTTCACCAATACAGTGGTCGATAATAATTCGAACTCAGGTAACAGTATCCCTTTTCTACTGAAACAGAGTTCTAAGCAGTAGATCGGAGCTTTCATTGTCCGCATCCTTTATTAAATCGGACAAATTTTGGCAGCCAAAACTAGGATCGTGAACCATGAACGTGTTGTACTTGCGAAATACTCATAAAAGACCCAAGTGCGATCATTCGATCCACCTCACATGGACAGTATGATGAATATGTAAAATTCACATTTCGAGTTTTTGGAGATTCGATCATTAGTTTTCGCAACATCTCAGATGTCTCTATAGCACTTTCTTTCTTTCTCTCTTAGTGATGCGGCTCACTGCCTTGGGAACTTGACTATCAAGCGGTGGTTTCCATTTCATATACTTCGGGCTGCACAACCTGGTAGTGTAACAACAAGCTAGACTCATAGCTTAGTACATCAACATGTAACCTGTTGGGTTACACTGTTATACTATCTAAAGTATTCAGGCAGAAAGTGCACTTTTCCAATCGGTTGCATTTGGCAATCGCACGTGCACTGCTCAACTTAACAGTACAGCAAAGACTAAATAGAAGAGTGAAGCTTACCAAAATCTGTTTGTTATCATTTCTACTTACGCGACCACTGACTGTAGTTCCGATGAGAGCACCATCAAGCCTCCTTGTGAAAGCCAAACGCTCTCATATAAGGGAATGTAGCAGGTAATTTCAGTGCACAAGTCAGGTAAAAAGGCACTTAGGTGGCACTTTTGCAGTCCGAGCCGAACTAACGGACAACTATGCCCAAACAACTACCTATTTCTACCCAGCATAAACCTCAACCAACCTCGTCGAACCAACGGTGGATACCAGTAGACCCTGTTATTATCAGTTACTCCTGGACATGGTCGGTGGAAGATTGCCGCTCCTTCTACAGGACGTGTTTGGGAAGTGATTATATGATGCTCCGAGCACGTATATGTGTGCGCCCAAATTGACGTAGAGAATCGATAACAACAATAACATTCTAAATAAAACGCGATGATGAGGAAGTTATCTATCCTGAAAAAGCCCCGTACCACTTGAAGTCTGTTATTAAAACCCGTGTTAAAGAATATAATTAGACTCTCAGAGAAAGGATCAATGGGTCACTGCAACGTCTGAAACAGTGGATGCACGTGGATGCATTCCTGAAGACCCCGAACAGAATGGGCAGCGGAAGCAACTCAAATGAAAACTGATGAGAAGTCTAATGAATGACCGCGAGCAGTGGTGGTCCAAAGAGATGGAAAAGGCAACGTCAGTATGTGCAGTAGATAGTCATTTATATTTACCAGGGAAACTCAAGGAATAAGGTTAATAGCCAGTGACACTTCTAGGAACATGTCAACTGGCCTCCAGCTACTTTATGTTTTTTCGCCACCCCGTTGTATCCTGAATGGGACATCGAGATAGGCCCTCAAACTCTTGCAGAAGTTGAGAAGGCTAACTAACCTGAAACAAGGAAAAGTAGTAGGAGCTGATAGATTAGTGCCAGAGGTATTTAACGACAGTAGTCGAGGCTAACATTAGTTGAATTAACCGAAGTGTCGTGGGGAAATAAGATATCATCCCCTCTGATTAGTCTGCGCTGATTGTCGCAATTTCCAGGACAGGATAAATCTTGCGATAACCACAGGGAAATCAATTCGATGAACAAAGTATCTAAGACTCCAGGTTCTATAATCACCATACGTCTAACTGGAGGAAATGACCAGCGAACCTGAGGAAACCAGACAGGTTAGGTCATAAGTATATCGACTAGACTATTCACCCTCTTCTGGGTATTGGAACACAAGCGCATTTACCGGTGCTCAACACTGGTTCGATTTCTTCACCTAAAGACGGCATTGCGCTTCATCGACCGAAAGGTCTTATAGTAAAATCTCTCACTGAAAGGGGTATCCGGAACGTGTACGTAAACCATTGTTTTGAAGGCTCCATATGAACACCCCATGTCCTGTCTAGAGCATGTAGTGAGATACCATACAAGTTATCGATGTCGATCGGTGTCCATTCCATTTATTCTTACCTATTTTTATCATAGACGTGCTAACAGAGGTCGCCCTTTTCTCCCCTGACTTTACCTTGTCACAAGAGACTCCTTCGTAGACCTAGATTGTGCAGATGACATAGTCCCGTTAGAGAAAGATGGTGACAAGATACAGTGCCAATCTGAGAATACCAAGGATCCATTTCTCATCACCTACATTTAAACTGTTGCTCCAAGACTGGTCTCTGCATGGGTGCATCATATAACAATAGGCGGTGAAGTGAGTGAGCATGGTGACCACCCCACATACTTGTAAAGTCGGGGCGGCTCTTCGTTAGTGACCATCAAGACCCCAGAAATACGAAAGGTCCGTGCCACCTTACGCCATGTATGATGCCCCAATCAAAACTGATAGCCTACCGACGATTGAGTGCACCAAGCTGCAGTTTGCTCTGTTCAATTATGATTAAGAAACATGGCCATTAACCGTGGATGTAATGAGAACTCCTCACACTGAAGTGAGTCAGATTAATTCGCTGCACTTTACAGTAGCACGAAAACAAAAAATGGATTGCAAAAAGCAGACAAAATTGCACACAGAGAGAATTTTAAAACTGGGGTTAATGAAAATATTCATGGTCTGGAAATCAAAGTGAATACATCCCTGCTATTGTGACAATCTTTAGTCGCATCGCGAAGGATTTCCACATAGAGTGCTTATGCCTGTATTCACAGACCGTAAAAAGTCAGACTTTATGGACTGGTGCAACGTCTTGGTTTGGTCACCACTGGCTTGTATCTAACGCAATCATACTTCAGTTAGCATTGCACATCGATGCAGTGTCTCAGTACATGTAACACTTTTTCCTCGAAATGATTGTAATTAGAACAATACCAACCGTCAAACATACAATCAACATGTAATTGAAGTTCTCGACATTAGATCAGACACTATTATTCGCACTTTTGTTAACACTGAGTGTTAGTCGCTTAATGTTTTCGAAAAAGAAATGTCTTCAGGCGACAGCGCTACTTTTGCACTGCGTCAATCGAGAATCTGACTTCTTGCCACGACTGAAGATTTTCTTACCATACGAAGCTGGTGCAGCAGCTTAATGCTATATCCGTTTACCATCCAACATTGGTAGTGCGAGCGTAGGAAACCGAGCATTTTTATCTTTCGCTTCTAGTTCTTAGGGCTTGGTTCGAGCCTTTCAGTCAAGAACCGAGTCCCATCAAAACGTACCCGGAAGGCGTAACTCCCGTTTATAAACCCAAAAGAAATACACATGGTTAGCAGTCATGGAATAAAACCATTCTAACTGACTATATGGCAGGGGCAATCTGACAGCTGGTGTTTACTTAAATATTTGAAAATGAGTCTAAAAATTCCTGCGACATGAAATCTCTTATAATTTGGGAAACGCTCATCATTTAATGATGGTTAGTCATTTATGACCGTGAGAGATCATCATAATGGGCGACTTACTTCCATTGGATGCTATTTTTGGTTCGCTTCTCTATCAAACCAATCCCTTCGAGAACATTTGTGATATCGTAGATCCTACGTTTCTGCCGTACAGCCAAGAATTCTGCTGCCTGACAAAAGTAAAACAGATCAGTAACAACATACCATTTTAAGATCTAAAATTCCATCTGGTGCCTCTTTCAGAAGTTGAACAAACTTTTCAGTAAGGAGACCTAGGCTTTTTTCATGACGATTTAAGTCTCTTATTGTATTTTGATCCATTGGAAAGTCGTTAAACATCAGACCTTGGTTCGCATACATAATACCGAAAAACTAATTGCTTGTCCTTGAAAGAAACTCAGCGCCTGGCTATATTTGTCAAGGTTTTTCGGGAAATCCAAAATCCAACAGGTTTTCGAGCTGGTGTTCAGATGGTTCAAATAGTTGTTGGCGGAATAGAAGAGGCTTTGGCTTAATTGGCTTCTGCGTCTAAAATCTGTGGATCACTACTCCTTGCGGTTGTTAATCTGTGCACAAGTAAAGAAACAGGAAAAATTGGCGGTTAAAATGTGAAAATTCACTTAGTTCCAGACAGATCCCAGATACACCTCAGGTGGGTATCTAGTCGGCATTTAAAGTATGCGGACGAGTTTGCCTAGATCACATCCTAAGGAAGAGCGTTCCAGGGTCTAACAACTCTTAGGAAATAGAAATCTTGCCTGACATCCAACCTGCTATGTTCCAGGCTTAGTTTCTGTGCGCGTCCTCTAAAATTGGTGCCACGGCTAAGATTTAATAACTGACGTAGTGGGAGGTCAGGAGCGCTGAGAATATTATGAATCATATTCAAGTCTCCTCTTAGCCTCTCGTATTCCAGAGGATACAGATCCTGTGCAGCTAGCCGTTCTCAGTATGTTCTTGACCTAAATCCTCGAACAGATTTTGTCGAACGCCTCTGGATGCGTTCTAAGCCTAGTTTGCCATTCTGGAGAGGAGGGAGGAGGATGGTGGTCTCGAACTCCAGGTGAGGCCATACGATGCTGCTGAGAATTCGATGGAAGCAACTTCGAATTGTCCGAAAATTCGTCCAAGAGTTACTAAGACCAAGTTTCCACGAAATGCTTTTTTGTCGCAGTTGGCAAAGGATTTTAAGTCTTGGGAGATTAAGATGCTCAAATCCTTCTCTATCAGTGACGCTTCAAGTTACATGTCGTTGAAGGTATATACATGAGATATATCATGTTTCACGCGTATCAACTTGCATTCCTCAGGATTAAATCCCAGTGTAAAACGACTGATTACTTCTCGCTTGCTTCCAAGTCTTGCAGGACGATTAAAGGCCTTCACTTAGTTTTCAATTTGAAAACAAGAAGTGGATGATCCAATGCCTTTTAAATTTTTGGCTTCTGCTGTACTACCGTTATTATTTATTTGTCCATCGGGTTCCCAGTGGAACATATGGATTCAGTAGCACGCCTCCATTGCACTCTGTTCTCTGCAGTCCTTTGAAACTTGCTCCACGACTCCCCAGGAGCTTTCATTTCTTCTTCACGTGATCTCCTCCATGTCACCCTCGGCTTCCATGCCGAACTCGTCGTTCCCCTTTGGATTCCATTTGAGTGCCTGGCTCACGATGTCGCCAAATGGTAATCTTGGTGAGTGCCCATCCTGTTCCATCCCCACTTTCTCCTGTATATTTGTTGCGCGATGGGTTCTCGGGCAGTTCGTCATCCAGAGTTTCTTGTCTCCGTCCTATCATCAGTATCGAGCTTGGGCAGCTGTTGATGAATGTCTGTAGTTTATTGTAAAAGCCTTGCGTAACGCGCCAACCCTCCCAACCATCATTTAGAAGCGCTGACTCACTTGGCTGAATTGGTGTTGAAAATCAGGATGTTGTTCACGCTTTAAGCTGAGCGCAGTGGATCTGTAGCGTCATACACTTCCCCAAAATCAATAGCCTAGGGTTTGACGACTTCGACATTGATGCTGACCTTGATAGTTTAACTGGACTCGCTAAGCTGAAGGCACCCGGTCAAGCATCCTGGCCATTTGGCACGCTGTCGTGTTACGTTGCATTGCTCGTATTCGACTCTCTAGCCAGTTAGTTGGAACGCATCGGTATTTTGGCATAACCATCCAAATATACTATTCCATCCGACTACGCTATCGTGTTCTACCTTGGTCTCGTATTCGTGGGTATATAACAAGTTCGAATAATTAGTGATTGGTCTTTGCGTCTGTCAAGTTCGCACCAGGACAAATCCTAAATTGGTGAGTCCGACGTGATCAAATATCCCGACGTGATCACATATCCCGACCAATAACAAGTATTAAAGATCTCTACACTGATTCTAGGTTAATGAAGACCAGTCTTGCTGTCTTTTTGATCCCGGCCTTAACGCTGTCATCTGTACCGCCTGCAGTCGAAACGATGCTGCGTAGATGGGTAGGTGAAAGAGACTACTTCCTTTAGATTTCTTCCGTTGATGGTGATTGGTGCTTGTTGTCGTTGTTGGTTGGGTATCTTCATAATCTCTGTCTCCTCTGAGTTCACACCAAGTCCGGTCCTCGTTGCCTCTTCTGTCAACTTGTCGGTTTTTGCCTGTAGACCTTCAAGCTTGCGACATTAAACATAAATCATCATCGGTGAGATCCAAATCTTCGGTCCAGCCGGTGTATGCCCATCTTCTCGCTCCTCGCTGCATGATCCTACTGACCACAATCAGGAAGCTGATCGGTGATAGTAGGTAGTCTTATCTTACCCCTGTCTCCACTTCAAGGGCATCACTGAGCTTTTCAAAGGCTTTCTTATAAGCCCTAGCTTGGGGTAGCTCGATCAACTGAAGTTTCATCATTTTTAGGCATAAGCTTGGTTGTCGTGCTATCAGTTTTGTCAAGTTATCACTACTTAAGCCCTTCTGACCTAAGTTTGACCGAATACTCCAGTTCAACTTCGTTTTAGCAGGACCTTTAACTGAATGGCGAATACCATAGCCATAACCATGTTTGCGGCCGGCCCAGCTGCAAATTCTTAGCAGACGAAGGTATACGATGTGACGCATTTGGATGTTAGTTCCGAGGATTTTGTACCGGAATGACACTAACTGCATACAAGGTCTACAGTAAGCCAGCTTCTCCCTGGTTTTAAGAGTTCAAACTTCGTGCTGTAGAACTAGTGAACGACAGTTCCTTGGGTCGCATGTCTATCCTATTAGAGTACGCTCTAGATTTGGAACGGTCACAATTATCTTCCGGGTTCCAAAAAACCAGAAAGGACGGAGATAATCGACTATTAGTTAATCTCGTCCGAAGGTAGCATTATTGCTCCTTACGTGTAGGCGACAGAAAGCTCCTCGAGTACAGCCCGTCAGTACGACAGGACCCGAGATGCGCGTCTAACCTCTTTTTGAAAGTATGAGGAGACGCGGAAGCAGCAAAATGCTAAAGGAAGGGAATTCCATAGCTTATGAGCTCTAACTGTAAAAGATTACCCGGGATCTTCGGACATGTAATCATTATTATATGATGAGCCCTTCCCAAATTATAAGAGATTTCATGTCGCAGGAATTTTTAGACTCATTTTCAAATATTTAAGTAAACACCAGCTGTCAGATTGCCCCTGCCATATAGTCAGTTAGAATGGTTTTATTCCATGACTGCTAACCATGTGTATTTCTTTTGGGTTTATAAACGGGAGTTACGCCTTCCGGGTACGTTTTGATGGGACTCGGTTCTTGACTGAAAGGCTCGAACCAAGCCCTAAGAACTAGAAGCGAAAGATAAAAATGCTCGGTTTCCTACGCTCGCACTACCAATGTTGGATGGTAAACGGATATAGCATTAAGCTGCTGCACCAGCTTCGTATGGTAAGAAAATCTTCAGTCGTGGCAAGAAGTCAGATTCTCGATTGACGCAGTGCAAAAGTAGCGCTGTCGCCTGAAGACATTTCTTTTTCGAAAACATTAAGCGACTAACACTCAGTGTTAACAAAAGTGCGAATAATAGTGTCTGATCTAATGTCGAGAACTTCAATTACATGTTGATTGTATGTTTGACGGTTGGTATTGTTCTAATTACAATCATTTCGAGGAAAAAGTGTTACATGTACTGAGACACTGCATCGATGTGCAATGCTAACTGAAGTATGATTGCGTTAGATACAAGCCAGTGGTGACCAAACCAAGACGTTGCACCAGTCCATAAAGTCTGACTTTTTACGGTCTGTGAATACAGGCATAAGCACTCTATGTGGAAATCCTTCGCGATGCGACTAAAGATTGTCACAATAGCAGGGATGTATTCACTTTGATTTCCAGACCATGAATATTTTCATTAACCCCAGTTTTAAAATTCTCTCTGTGTGCAATTTTGTCTGCTTTTTGCAATCCATTTTTTGTTTTCGTGCTACTGTAAAGTGCAGCGAATTAATCTGACTCACTTCAGTGTGAGGAGTTCTCATTACATCCACGGTTAATGGCCATGTTTCTTAATCATAATTGAACAGAGCAAACTGCAGCTTGGTGCACTCAATCGTCGGTAGGCTATCAGTTTTGATTGGGGCATCATACATGGCGTAAGGTGGCACGGACCTTTCGTATTTCTGGGGTCTTGATGGTCACTAACGAAGAGCCGCCCCGACTTTACAAGTATGTGGGGTGGTCACCATGCTCACTCACTTCACCGCCTATTGTTATATGATGCACCCATGCAGAGACCAGTCTTGGAGCAACAGTTTAAATGTAGGTGATGAGAAATGGATCCTTGGTATTCTCAGATTGGCACTGTATCTTGTCACCATCTTTCTCTAACGGGACTATGTCATCTGCACAATCTAGGTCTACGAAGGAGTCTCTTGTGACAAGGTAAAGTCAGGGGAGAAAAGGGCGACCTCTGTTAGCACGTCTATGATAAAAATAGGTAAGAATAAATGGAATGGACACCGATCGACATCGATAACTTGTATGGTATCTCACTACATGCTCTAGACAGGACATGGGGTGTTCATATGGAGCCTTCAAAACAATGGTTTACGTACACGTTCCGGATACCCCTTTCAGTGAGAGATTTTACTATAAGACCTTTCGGTCGATGAAGCGCAATGCCGTCTTTAGGTGAAGAAATCGAACCAGTGTTGAGCACCGGTAAATGCGCTTGTGTTCCAATACCCAGAAGAGGGTGAATAGTCTAGTCGATATACTTATGACCTAACCTGTCTGGTTTCCTCAGGTTCGCTGGTCATTTCCTCCAGTTAGACGTATGGTGATTATAGAACCTGGAGTCTTAGATACTTTGTTCATCGAATTGATTTCCCTGTGGTTATCGCAAGATTTATCCTGTCCTGGAAATTGCGACAATCAGCGCAGACTAATCAGAGGGGATGATATCTTATTTCCCCACGACACTTCGGTTAATTCAACTAATGTTAGCCTCGACTACTGTCGTTAAATACCTCTGGCACTAATCTATCAGCTCCTACTACTTTTCCTTGTTTCAGGTTAGTTAGCCTTCTCAACTTCTGCAAGAGTTTGAGGGCCTATCTCGATGTCCCATTCAGGATACAACGGGGTGGCGAAAAAACATAAAGTAGCTGGAGGCCAGTTGACATGTTCCTAGAAGTG